AAACATCGGCTTTCAATAAAATAGTTTTACCATTATTTAGCCTATTTATGACCGCAACCCTGGACCATCTTCTTCCTTTATAATGCAACGGTCAACTATTAAATATTCAATACATTTCAAAAATTGTTTTAAAAAAAAACTCTTAGTTCGCATTATTTTTTAAATAATAACCAATATATTTTGAATAATATAAATTAATGATTTAAATTCGATGATTATTTACAAATTCATAATTAATCAGACTCCGCACTCAGTACATGTTCGGTAGTCCACTCACCGGTGCTTTTTCTTCCTCTGAAAATGTGGAAAAGAAATATTAAGTAACGCACAGTCATCTTTGTAATTGGAGGCCCAGGAGCGGGTAAAAGTACTCAGTGTGCCAATATTGCCAGGGAGTTTGGACATTACCCTCTATCCGCCAGGGATCTACTGAGTGATGGAAGGATGAAACATAATTCCGTATTTAGACCAATCATAGACTTTTACATGAATAATGGCAAATATGTAAAGGCAAATAGTACAGCACAAATCATCGTAAACGCCATGAAAAATGCTCAGCCCAACAAATTCGTCATTGACCATTATCCACGAAATAATGAAGATATTGAAATCTGGAATAGAGAACTTTATGTTCAATATATTTAGTAAATTAAACATGTTTCAAGTATATTTTATTAACATAAATGTGTTTGTGGAAGATGTTAATTCTTATTTTCATAAGATCATTTTTTTCGTTTAATGGTTTACAAGTTTGTATAACACTGATATGATGGGGTTGTTTGGCATTATATATATATATATATATATATATATATATATATATATATATATATATTCTAGAATATATATATATTCCAATTATTACAATTAGGGTATTCCGCTAGTATTTTTCAGATTATAAAATCCTAGTTCTTTGTCCCATCATTGAATGACATATCCTTATTCAAGTAAATCCTTCGATTAGAGCTAATTTGAGGTTAAACAGTTTTGATTTATTTTCTGGTTTGAGATTTAATAGCAAATTGATTAATGGTCAATGGAAAATTATCGGATTAATTATTTATGAATATTGATAATAAATTTATAGTAAAAGTAGTTTAAATTGTTTGATATTATATTGGAAGTATTTTTAATGGCTATTGTATCACATCCTACTAATGATAATACTACTGTGAAACTTCTTCAAAAATGAAGAATAAAACAAAATTATTAGGTAATTGAACTAAAACTAGGAATCTGAAGAAATATCACAATGGCTACTCTTTTTGTAGAGATCATAGAATCTGTATATATATATATATATATATATATATATATATATATATATATATTTCCGTTTACATTTATCTGTAAATTTGGAAATTAAAGATGTTTAACAATAGATGATGCCTGTGTCTTGATGGGGAAGAAACTTCACAAATGGTATTAGGTATAAACTTACGAAATATTGTGGAAGAGGTAATGAAGGCTGTCCAGTAAGAGATTATATAGTTTATCTTATTTTTTCTCTGCTTGGGTCATTTCTTATTTCACTGGTGTAGATGGCAAATATAATTTCTTCTTGATTGCAGTTTTTTTTTTGTTACACTGTTTAATGGTTTGGAAGTTGTTCTTCCTTTATTAGAAATATATGATAATTGCTGGGTTGTTTTCACAATTCAAGGAGCAAAACTATTGATATATTTCTACATATTTAATTTATATTTTACTACATTTCTTAGTTGGATAATTTACCCTTTTTTAATATACTCATGCGGTCAATCAAAGTTTTATTTTTATTTTATTCATGCATTCCGCATCTACCCAATCAGGTCATTGGTGGCATAATTACTGATTACAATTTAAATTATATACAATGAGAAGTTGATATATAAAAGATATTCGTTATTTTTTTATTCCTTTACTTTATTGGTTACTTCTGAGCATGATTTGAATTTTGTACCTCTCTACACTTTGTCTCTCAGTCCTATATCTTTGGTTGGCAAATAAGTCCTTTCGTTTTTCTGTTTATTTTTATTTCTTTATGATACACTTCTTATCTGAGGAATTAATCCCTAAGGTGGATTGTTTATTCTGTTTGTAATATGTCGACAACTATATCCATTAACTCTTGTTGAAACTAGCTTAGTATTGTGTTTGCTATTGCACGCGGAATATGGAAGAAAATATCATTCATTATTGGCATATTTTGTTGTATTATTTTAAAAAAGGTAAGCGTGCTGTAGAAGCTCATAAAAAAATTTGCAGTGTTTATGGGAATGATGCCTTAACTAAACGCACATGTCAAAATTGGTTTGCCAAATTTCATTCAGGAAATTTTGACATCAATGATGCTTAACCTACTTGAAATTGAAACGAGCAATGTTAATGCCATTGTTTATCAAAATCTCATCCAATCAGTGTGATAGATTGCTATGGTCCTAAATGTGTTGCACACAAGTGTAGAAAATCATTTGCACAAGCGTGACTATGTTTTCAGGCTTAAAGTTTGGATTCCGTCACTCTCTAACCTAAGTCAACTTGGCTACAGAAATTTCTGTTTGTGATTTACTACAGAAACGGCTACAAAAGGACCCATTTTTGAAACCTTGGTAACAGGATATGAAAAACAGATATTCTACAATGATATAGTCTGTAGGAAATCTTGGGGACCTAGTTGTGAGGCTACTAGAAGAATGTCAAAACCCGAATTGCATACAAAGAAGATAATGCTTTCCATATTGTGGAATTTCAAGGATGTTATTTTCTATAAGCTATTGCCATCATGACAAACGATTGATTCGACTCTATACTGCTCACAATTAACAAAATTGTTCAATCAATAAAATGTAAACGCCCAGAACTGGCAAATCAGAAGGGTGTTGTGTTCCACCGAGACAATGTTATACCCCCCATCTCATTGGTCACTCAACAAATTATTGTGCCATTGATGGGACCTTTTGCTCCACCCTACCTATTTACCAGACGTAGATCCAAGTGAGTACCTCTTATTCCGGTCTCTGCAGAACACCATGAATGAAAAGAAATTCCAAAAGGAAGAGGACGTCAAAAACCACTTGGATCAGTTTTTTAACAATAAACTCCAGACATTCTATGAACATGACATTATACAGTTAGTGAGAAGATGGAAAAAGTCATATTAAATTATGATCAATATATTGTAGATTAAAATAAATTATATGTCTATAGTACATTAAGCCAAAAGGACTTATTTGCCAGCCCAATAGACTATTTGACAGCTAATATGATTGAGTTATCATGTTTTAATATTGTTAATTAAGTCCACATAAGATGTGCCCAGATTTTAGTCATCGTTTTTGTAATTTACTGTTATTTTTAATTATGTGTATGGAATGCAATTTTTTTTTTTTTTCTAATGCCAATTTTTGGTCAAATGCCTCTTATTTTTAAATAATTAAAATTGAAGTTGTGTTGCATTTGTATAGTTTATAGTGCTAGTATAGTGGTGTAGATATTTTTTATGTTTTTGCGTGTAATGTGTTGTGCAACTCTTGTTATTTGTTTCTTAGATATTTCACTACAGATTTTTTTTTGACAATTTTGTCATCCTATTTTATATATAACTTTTTAAAAACTATTTTAATTTTCAATTTGCTGATGCATTTAACTAATTTGTTGTCATTATATAATTCTAGTTTAATTTCTGGATAGTCATAGTTTTTAAAGATTTTCTTAATGTTATCACTTAATCCTGATATGTGAGTCATTTTGTAGTATGTCCTTTCATTTTTTCTTGTATTTAGTAAATGTCTTTTTAGTTGTTTTCCTTTGTTTTATTTGTTCACCTAGGTTATCTCTTCATCATTCCATAATGTATTCGATAACGACAGAAGTGTAAAAAGATAAGTACATTTGGAGTTAATCAGTTTCTAGGTGATATTGATATTATTCTGTAGTAGAGGTATTATCTTTGGTTGTTTGAAGATGAATGACCTGTACTCAGTAATTTTTGATAAAGATTATGGCTTACATTTCAATCCAGTTATGTGGACCATCTTCAAGGCAAGTTTACAATGCTGGGAGATTCATAACTTAAGAAAAATCAGAGTTTTCCAAAACTTCCTGTAAACTTGGCATGAAGATGGGCTGAAACTTGAGTTGAAGCGATAACATTATCAACAATTACTTAGTCCTCATTACGGATTTATTACTCTATTTGTCTATTTGCTATACTCTATTTGCTAGTAGAGGAAGGTCGCTAAAAAAAAAAACAGAAAAGAAAACTGGTGACAAAGAAGAGCCTTGAGAAGTACATATTTAAGAAATGGTAAAAATGAAAATAGTAAGTAATGGATCATGAGTCCAGGACTGTGTTTGGTTTCAAGCTAAAAAGTGTAGGAAGTGTTTTTCAATTTTTCAAAAACATTAGGTATTTGATACATTGACTTAATAATTTGGAGCCAATTGCTCAGACTGTAAATTACAACAATCATTAAATTATAACAAGTTAAAGGTTCAATCCCAATGTAATACAGAGTGATATCAATTGTGAACATAACATTTTATAGGTGCTTAAGAAAATAAAATCTCTAAATGTCTGTAAAATACTATACTAAATACCATTGTAATTCTCACAGAACATGGTCCTAGTGTAAAGTTGATTTTTCTATTCTAAAAATATTATAGAAAAAAATAAAAAAACACTTTTTAACAGAATATAATTTAATACAACATATTAAAATCAAACACATTTCATTAAGAATTTTCCATAACAGGTGTTGAAGATCAGTAGGTTTCAATTCTATAAATAATATAGTACTTATTCTTTAAGTACATGAACTAAAATTGGAGTCATACATCAAACTAATTTACTTAATATATTGAAATAATATTTTCTTGTATATATTGGATGAACAGTGGGTCATAAAAGAAACTAAAGAATTTTTAATTGAACACTTTGATAAACACTGATTTTAACTGATAACAATTTATCTAAAAATTTATTATTTCCGAAAGTCATTTTTCATTAATAAATAATTTTAAAATCTATGAAAAATTGACCTGATGTCACCAAAGACCTCTTCCTTCGGCTGGCTGGCATCTATTTTTTTCAGCAGATGCACGGTTTTGTAAAAGTCAATAACTGCCATTGAGTCCTCCCTGAAAGCACTGAACCTCTTCTTAATGGCAGTTATTTCAGAGTGATCAGGAGGTTTCCTGCCCCTACGAGTTCTTCGCAAACAGCGATGGACACAGATTATCTCCGGGCAACTTAAATAAAAGACAAACAGAAGTCGCGTGAAGTCCTCTGCTATACCTAGTTCTCTATGCCATATTTGAACATCGTCTTCGTTCCGTGGATAATCATCAATGACGAATCTGCTCGACGGGGCTTTCCTTATGGCTTGTAAGATGATTTGAACTGTTATGTAAGCTGGAACATCTCTGCCATATCTCATGCAAAAGTCGATCATCGGGCTGTAAACTGAACTCGGTTTCTTCCTCTCTGCTATAAGTATGTTCCTCACGGATATGTGAGTGTATTGAAACTTCCTTGCAATATTTGCGCAATGGGTGCTTTTACCCGCTCCTGGGCCACCAATTACAAATATAATGGTGCGGGACTTCATGCTTTTTCAGATTATTTAGGATTAAAAAAAGCACCGGTGGGAGCACAACCGAACATAACACTCACAGTGATTGTCTGATTGTTTATGAACCTTCTAAGCAAGGTTATAGTGATTGCCAATCGATTGAAAAATAATACATGTTTACATAACATTATAATTTTATTAGAATCGTTAGATGAGGTAATAATGAAATGTGTAAATAATCATCGAATTTAAATCATGAATTTATATTATTCAAAATATATTGGTTATTATTTAAAAAATAATTCCAAATAAGAGTTTGTTTTTTTTTTAAACAATTTTTGAAATGATTTTTAAGTTGTTGAATATCATTATTTTCAAAACTTATAATTTTGATATTAGCTTAAATAAATAAATAGACACAAAATAAAATATATTGAATTCGTTATTTCATGATCCACGGAAGGCTCAGAAGGTTAATGCAAATCTAAATAACTATGGCGGGAGATACAGTTTTAAAAAAAAATCACTTCAAAGAATTTCGTTATTAAATTTAGTAAAGTTGCTGCTCCCTGGATTGGTAATGAAAGCCAGATAGTCGATGAAGAAAAGAGACGCTGCTAGACTGCGTTTCAAAAGAACGCGAAACCCGGACGATTGCATTGCATTCAAGATCCTTCGAAACCACAACCAACCTTCCTTACGCCGTGAGTAAAGGCACAAATCTCTACCACAAGCCCCGGATCCCGACACCAGATGGAAAATCCTGAAAAACCTGTCCATAGCAAAATCGAAAGGCTATGTTTCATATCCTGTTGATCTTGATCAACTCAATTTCCACTTTGCTGACCTTATCGTTATACCATTCTCGTCCTCACACCGCATTCCGAAAACTTCTATTAATCCTGAAAATTTCTATTTTAGATTTATTTCACCCGAGGACCTCCTTTTCTCAGTCCGCAAGCCCTGAACGACTTTCTCCAACCCTTTTCTACATTTATGTCAACGATCTCCCTGATTCCATCCACCATTCACAATATCACCTATATGCTGACGACCTCCAGATTTTACCAATCCTTTCATCCTTCAGAAATGCTTGAGACAACCCGAAGGCTTCAAGAAGCCATAGACAATATCAACGCATGAGTAGCTAACAATGATCTGAGGCTGAACGTTGAGAAGACCAAAGCCATTCTCATTGGGTCTAAGCATCTTCTTAATTCCATTTCTTATTATCCCCTTCTCTATCTTAATGACCAACCTATTCGTTTCCACACTTCCGTCAGAAACCTGGGGGTAATATTTGATCAACACCTGTCCTGGAATCACTATGTTTTCCAAACCATCAGAAAATCTATCGCTACTCGTAGACAGTTTCTGAGATTCCATGATTCTATCCTTTTAAAACCCGCCAGCTTCTTGTTTCCTCTCTTATTTTTCCCAACTTCGATTATGGCTGCCTTGTATACGGTGGACTTGAGATTATACTGATAAGACTAATGAATTGTTTTATTAGAATCATCTGCAGAGTCCAGTCTGTATTCCGAGTTGAAGTGGCTATATCCAATTTCTCGACGGCAATATTTCCTAGTTGCATTCCTTTCCCCAATCTTTACAACCAGAAAACCTTCATAGCTTCTTGACTCCTTATTCTTCTTCTTGACTCCTTGTTTCGCTGTCCATTTTTTTAACACGAGATCCCTGCTCTCAAACTTGTATATTCCTTCTCATAAGACAGCTAATTTTGAAAAATACTTCATAATGCTTGTTTTGGAATTCCTTATCCACCTCTATTCGCAAAACCTCACCATTGACTTCATTTAAAAACCAATTGTTTCTCCACCTCATCAGCCATCAATCTTCCGAATACTTATAAGAATTAAATATGTTACCAATATGATCCTAATGTTAATGTTAAACAAACAAATATCAAATCACGGTATTATATGCCAAACAAATCTATATTATAATGTAATTATGGTTGTACAAGTCATTCTTAGAAAAAAAAAATATTATTTGATTATTATGACAATTGTGGAATAATAATTGTGCTTTTAAACCTCGTATATGTGTAATATAATATAATTCTATTTTGATGGGAAAATCAATATGGGAGTATCTTCGTTAATTTTTCATTAAATCCAATGACCGAAAAAATTATCTATTATCGAGAAAATTATCAGGCCTCTTTCAAACCTCTTCTCAACCGTGTCTGTCTTTGTAGGTGTTTTTGCCAACCGTTGGTTTTTTATTGCCTCTCACAAAACGTTGCACTCCCTAGGGGGTCTTTACTCTCCCTCAGGTAACCGGACATGTATTAGCAATTATTATCTTGAATATATGTATTCATTTGAAATAATAAAATATATTCCACATGTGGTCCTTACAATACATAGCAATAAGAAAATATGAGCATTTTGTGATCATCCCTTGATAAAACCTTGGATTGCCCAAAATTAATAAATGGAATATTAAAAATAATTTGGTAAAAGCTCACGACCATAAGAGAGAAATGTAATAATGGAATCTCAAAAACTCTCAGTAGAAGGAAACATATAAATGCCGATTTTAATTACAACTCATATCAGAGTTGGAGGTTGTTGAATAAATAAACGAACAGACATATCAGCAGTAATTAATTATATTGTTGATTACAAAATTGAAATGAGCGTAGTTAATTACACAATCAGCGTATAATCAACGGGATATTTTCTGTTTTGTGAAATTTATAATTGGAAATGAACCTGTAATTGAATGATTAATCGATTGGTATGAGAACGTTATGACTGTTGCATTAACTTAAGAATAATTACCGAAACCTAAAACAATACGAATGGACTAATAAATAAAATTCAAACAAATAACTTCTCTTAATTGTCTCCGATTGTACAGGTTTGGTGGAATTGCTCGCGTGGTCACTTCTCAAGGAACTGGGCCAAGCTGGGAATCATTCCAACCGTTGAAACTTCTGAAATCTGTTTTATCGGGCTTCAATCGCCCTCCGTACTTCAATCAAACTGTTATTAGACTATGAGCTACCGACTATTTCATTTAACGGAAGGTCTTTAAGCTAGTAGCCATTTCTGGATAAACCTCATCTTAATACGCAAAGTCGGTCAGTCGATTGAAAGCCGTTGCTTTCTACGCGAAAATTTAATTTAAATAGGCGTAAATTTGACGTTTCATTCAACGAACATCAACGGCTGAAATTTTGATATGATGTCAAGAATATATCCCTAAAAGAAAATTCACCTTAAGTGACTGTATTCTGTAGCGTTTTGAAAACTGACTCGTCAAAGTCATTAAATTAAGAAAGCCGGACGGTAGTTGGATTCTAGACAAAATTTACAACAAAAAAGTTCATTTGATGCATGGGCCGATCCAATTGTGTGTCAAAATTGGAGAATTAAAATAAATCCCATAGAATTACCTTCACTCTTCCATGTAAATCTATGACTTCTTGTCCTACAGTATCCTTTAATAATTCCCTACATATCGCTGTTGAACAAATCCGATACCTAGGACTCCATCTGGACAAACGATTCACATGGAATTCTCATACAAGACTGAAACGATAAGAAACCCTTCGACGTTTTCGACTACTCCAACACTTAATAGAAAACGCTCTAAACTTTCTATGTATTACAAAAAACACATATACATGACTATAATAAGGCCAATTTGTACTTACGGAATTGAGCTTTGGGGCTCGACTAAACCATCGAATTTCTGTCGTATCCAATCCTTACAATCCAAAATCCTTAGTAATTTTGTTTTTGAGCTACCTGCAGTTTCTTTGGCGTAAGAGGGCCTATCTTTGATTATATAGTTTACAAAAGTACACATATAGAATCTGACATTGATATTTGTGGATTTGTGCCTAACCCTCTTTTTTAATTGATTGACATTTGTATGTCAAATATTTGAGATGTGGATTAAAATATATCCACCCGAGCGTTCTGTGTGGGGCCTCGTATGTCATATCCCGCTTCAAATCTTATTTTTTATTTATTATTATTTTGAATAATTGATCATATTGATTAACAATTAAATCCAGAATGTAAGCCAAGAATTAAAATAAAGTGCATATTGATCATTTAATCCAACCTTTTCGTTTTGTTTTTAGTCAATACCTCAGATTCTAATCAAACGTTATAACGTTATTCTGTGTGGGTAAATCATTGAAATAAAAAAACTTCCTGTACACAAACATATTTATACCTAGGCCTGCTTAAATATTTGGAAGTTTTAAATTTTTTTAAAAATATTTATATGCTTCACTTTTTTATTTGAGGAAAGTATTCTATTTATAATCAGTTATGCTAGCTGACCCGAACGAATAATTCCCATAATATATTGTTTAGTGTAGAAACATCAAAATAATATGCTAATAAGTAGAACTTATATACTATTTGAAGAAGGATACCCTTGTGTTTTTCTTAGTCGAGTGCAATATTTCGTTTAACTTAATAGCGTACAAAGTACAAAGTATTTGTACTAAATACTTTTCAAGGGCATAATTTTAAATGCTGAATACTATATTGAAGCCCCCGAAAATTCTAAAATATAGATTTGCCTTATGAAAAAAATATTTAATAATCACCTCTAAAACTATTATTGTTCGTGTAATTACATTTAATAGAACTTAAATAATCACTTAATCTCTATTTCATGTAGGTAGTTAATTCCTTTCTTTTTCTTCCCAAGTAATTATCGTTATATATTAAAATAGAACAATCTTTCGGGCTGAAGCCTCCCCTCCCCCCCCCCCACAAAAAACAACTAAACTCTGGAGCATAGGCAGGCATCGATCATAGGATTTTCTATATTATTAAAAATTATATAATATACCAACAAAAAAAATGCCTTTAAGAAATAATGAAATATATATCAGCCGGAAGAATAAAAACGGTGGTAGAATATTAAAAGCAGTATATTCGAAGAGGAAGACATTTTTATGTATATCAAATCAAACGGATTGTTGCTTAAACTTTGGTAATGATGGACCGATTTTAAGATTTTTTTTTTTTTTTTTGAGT